CCCAGGGACGTTCCTTAGCTCAGCTGTAGAAACAATGAAAAGCCGCAGAGCCGACGGTGGCAGTGACTGTGAGCACAGGTGGGATTTGCAGCATGTGACAAAGCCCTGCAGGCCCCGGCCGGCGCTGTGCCCCCGGCCCCGCCCGGCCCCGCCCGCGGCGGTTCGTGCCCGGCCGCAGCCCCGGCTCCTCTGGCCGTGTCTGCCAGGGCACAGTAATACACGGCCGCGTCCTGCAAACCGGGCCGGGAGAGCCAGAGGGAGCTCCAGCGACGGTCTGGCGACACCGACAGCTGCCCCGCTGGCTCCAGCACTGGTTTTGTGCCTTGGACAGTCCTTGCTATCAGCTGGGGAGGTTGGTGTGGGAACTGCCGATACCAGTAGGTATAGTCTGCAGCAATTTCGGGGTGCTGGCAAGTGATGTTCAAGCCTGTGCCCTCGGCAGTCTCTGCCCACGGGTCCTGCTGCACTTGGTTTATTTCCGTAGCCACTGCTGGAAAAGAAAGAGATTTTTAAAAAGGGGTCCAGTTCTGAGCGGTTTTATTGCCAGAGGGAGAGTCAAGACCAGGAGCTGTAAGAAGGAGCCTCACTGTAACGGCATGTAAGTGATTCTGTAATTGTTGCACGCAGAGATCAGAAAAAAAGTCAGGTCCATGCACGATGCTTGGAGCAGAAGGGAAGAGTAGGTGTTCTAGGGAAGGACAGGTTGTTGTATTCAGAGCAATAATAACTGCAGTGGTGGAAATGCAGGTGCATGGAAAAGCAGGCATTGTGCAAGCAGGCTTTAGGAACGCAACTCATGCAGACTTGTGGGGATGAGAGGTGGCAGAGAGGCGGGCAGAGAGAAAGAGATGTAGAAGAAGCAGAGGGAAGGGTTGGCGCCGGGCTCCCGGGGAAACACCCGAGCCCAGCCCCGGCCCCGCTGGTCCCCGCCGGCAGCCCCGCGCACCGAGCAGCACCGCGGCCAGCGCCGCCAGCCCCGCGCCCCGCCAGCGCCGCATCCCCCGCTCCGCCGCCCGCGCCTCGCT